ACTTGTCTTACCATCTTTTGTTCATCATTTTATAAGTATATAGCATTACTCATTTATTTAAAGTTTTTCTTTCAAATCAGGTAACTTTGTAAGAGATGCAAGGAAAAACTATTACATGATATAATGCACTAGCTAAAAAAACTAAAAGGTTAAAACTCCTTTTTGGTCCCTCAATTATTGTATGGACCCTCGATTTAGTCCCTAAACTGAAAAAATTCCTGACTTAATCCCTACTGTTTACCCATTTTACTCCAACTTGGTCCTTTATTAAAAATCCATCGTTAACTTGCATGACTTAATGACATAACAAAATTTTAAGACACGTAAGATGTACAAATGGACAAAATGATGACATGGCAATATGACATGTTATATTCTTGTCCAATATCCAAAAAAAGTGGGTCCCACCAAAATTACAATTTTGCTCTCATCTTCTTCCTCCAACCTTCTCTTTCTCAAATCTTCTCTTTCATTCTTCTTTTTCTCTCTTTGCATCCTCCGAATCCACTTTCATCACCATTTTTCATAATCAAACAAAAAAACTCAAAAAAAAAAAAATCTGTTTGACTTTTTGCACAAATCAAAAAATTTGTTGCGTTTAAACCCAATGGTCGCTGGGTTCCAACCGCTCGAATGCAGGCGTACTAGGTTTGAACCCAGCAGCTGTTGGGTTCCAGAAGCGGGAACCCACGCGTTCAAACCCAACGGCCGCTGGGTTCCAACCATTAGAACCCAGGTGTGTTGGGTTCAAACCCAGAGGTCGTTGGGTTCTAGTGGTTGGAACCCACACGTCCACGCGTTCAAATGTAACGACTGTTGGGTTTGAACGTGTGGGTTACAGCCACTAGAAGCCAAGCTTGTTGGGTCCGAATCGAGTGGTCGCTAAAACCCACGCGTTTGTGAATGCAACACGCCTGGGTTCCAACGGCTGAAACCCACGGGTTTGAACGTAGTGGCTAGAACCCAAGGATGCTGGGTTCAAACCCAGCGACCGTTAGGTTCCAGTGGCTAGAATCCACGTGTCCACACCTTCAAACATGGCGGCCGCTGGGTTCAAACACGTGGCTTCCAGCCGCTAGAACCCAAGCGTGTTGGGTTTGAACCGAGCGGCTGCTAAAACCCACACATTCGCGAACCGAGCATGCCTAAGCTCCAGCGATTGAAACCCACAAGTTTGAACCCAGCGACTAGAACCCAGGCATGCTAGGTTCGAACGCTGAGTTCAAAAGAGTCCAGGACCCCAAGGGGAAAAAGAAAGGGAAAAAGAAGGTTTGTCATATCCATATTTTTTTTTACTATATGATTGTTTTTGTCCATGTCAACTATGTTGTGTTTAATACTTTGCCATGTCATCATATTGCTGTTAATTAACATGAAACCTCACATGATTTTTAACGGAAAGACCAAGTTGGGGTAAAATTGGTAAACAATATGGACCAAGTCAGGGATTTTTTCAATTCAAGGACTAAATTGGGGGTTCATACAATAGGTGAGGGACCAAAAGGGGATTTAACCAAACTAAAAGATTAAAGAAAGATTAAGGAAGAGAATTAAAGAAATTGCAATTGACACTAACCTTTTTTT